TACTGAAACCGGTAGCTATGAAGCACAAGTAATTACTTCTTCTGTTTGGCGATAAAGTTCAAGGAAAGTTGACTTTCCTGGCTAAGCTGACAAACAGACTTATTGCTGAGCAGGACGAGCGCTAATACGATCGATGATGCTGGACTAAGTGGGCGGTGGGCTTTAAGGCGCTGAAATAGCGTACTCCCCAGGTTAGACCAAACATGTATTATCGAGAGCAATCAAAAGGCTAACTAACAGGTTATGTAATAAATCAATAATACAATAAACAAGAAGGCGCGGGGCAAACCGGAGAATACTGTATCACAGTGCACTCAATTGTGCGATGTGCTACCAGATTGACACCACACACACGCACACCAATATGTACAACACAGCTAAGCACACTCTGACTGCTCGGAGAAGAGGTGCGTATTTCTCCAGTCATGTTCGACATTGTCAAGGTGACAATCGAAGTCAGAAAAGTCAGCCAACGCACGACTGGTCAAGTAGGGCTTCAGGAATTCCACCGCTGAGGACTCTAAAAGGAGACTGAGTGAGGCAATAAGAGAGAGAGGTCGCAACCACCACCTACCCATTGCTCGATTCCTTCCATTTGCTTTCACGGAAGGTGTGTAGGGACAGCGAGGCGCTTGATGGTTGCTTCAACCGGTCATTTCGGACCATCATCAGACAAGCCTGTTTGTTATTCTCGCGTATTTTATCGGCTATTTTAAAGGCTAGAGGATTGGGTCTAAAGAATAACGTAGGAAAAGGGAGCTCAGTTTCACATACGAATTTGCATTCAGGAGTTCGTTTGCCTGGTAATAGCCGCAGATTTTGAGTTCCCTAAGTGCACAGTAGGATTCAATCTAAAAGAAGTGTATGACTAGGAGACTGAAGGTGAACCTGGTAAAATGCAATCTCTAACATAGGAGCGAGTGTCAATGTAGAATGGAAGAGGGGGACAGCATCGAGGACGCGAATTTCACCATCCGCTTTGACTTCTCCAAGAAGGACACCGTTTACGGCAGTATGCGGGTATTTCGAAACGTGCAAAATGATCTTTGCGAAGGCCAGCTTACTGACAAATACGGTAGACATGTTAGGATTAGTCCTGCGTGTACACGTTGGCCTTTGGGTGGCTGAAACATAGACCAGAGATTGAGAAAATGGGCGAAAACAGAGTATACAGGGAAGGCTGATAAAAGAATGACTGAATTGGGACTGAATTTGTGTAACCAAGCATGAAAGAAAATGCGGAACTAGTGCACAAAACTATAGGAATGAGGCAGTATGCTCAAAAACGGCGCTAACGATGTCATAGTGACATTTTCTGCGATGACATTTAAATGAGTGTTAACGACTAAGAAAGCGGGCAAACCACTTAATGTTCATTAACAATTTAAAGGTAATCCAGAATGAATGAGAAGGTTCGCGTTTCAGGTATTTGCATGGATGAGGAAGAAAACTTGTCGAGCACCAGATCAATTGATTTATTGACCTGAGCTTTCGAACTCTTACAGGAGTCTATCTTCAGTGATCTCCATCTGAAGATGGACTCCTGTAAGAGTTCGAACGCTCAGGACAATAAATCCATTGATCTAGTGCTCGACAAGTCTTTTTCCTCGTCCAATTTTAAGGTAAGTTATCCGGCTAGATGGCAGCAAGTAACGGGTATGATACTGCGCTAATGGAATCTTCGGAATAGGAATACAGAAGATACGTGTGCCGATTGTACGCAAGAAGTGAAAATAGTAGTTGCAAGCAAACACAAATAACCTTACTCGAGCAAAAATGGTAAGCTTTTGTAAAATTCTACCTGGTAAAATGGAAACTACATAACATTTTGAAAGTTGGTTGATTTAAACATATGTCAGGACCAGCTAGTTTGCTACGTGAAGATAGCTATAAGACAGGATAATCGATTAAAGACCCGCGCTCGTTGAGCCAAAATTCCTCAAGAAGTACTGGGATTAGGAGCGTGCTAGAATCCGAATATAAGAACCCAACTCACCATGTGCCAAAGGCAGCTCAAGCGAATGTCGAGAAAAGTAGCAGCTAGTGACGATAGCCTTACCAAAGAGCCATTATAAGGCGTTTGCAGTTATAAGTCTATCCGCTACCTGGTCGTATGATCCAAACTAACAAGAGGAGGCAGCTAGTATCTGTTATGGATTCCTCCCCTAAAAATTAAAATTGCACGATAAAATGGGCCCTACAGTCAGGATTCTTAGGGAACAGTACTCCGCGGATAATTACTATGGCAAAATAAGTTTGCGATGTAGGCAGGCAAGCTGTGCATGGCTTCTCAGAGAGGAGACAAGGCAGCGGAAGAGGCCAACTTAATTTCCTTCATAAAAAGATGAACATCTCGGGCTTTAGATCACACAATACTAATAAGGACGCGGTGAACATTGTAACTTTCAAATTAGTGGCAAGCATGCACTACGTTAGGTCGAACTTAAGGAAAATATACAAGAAGTAATTTTAGCAATGCACTGGGCAACGACACGCAACCTGCATAAGACGTTCATTGGAAAGAAGATCCAATAGAAAGCAAAGGGGAGAGTACACAAGGTTCTCTTTAAGTAATTACTTGATATTGATTTGAAACGAGATCTGTGGGCTTAGAAAACTTTTTTTATACGAACTTTGGCAACCGAAAGTTTAAACTCCAGTTCTGAATTTTCAATCGTCACGTTTTCATTAAACGACCGTCGAGGACATAACTTAAGAAATGCCCGTTTTCCAAACACTGACTGAAATAAGTCAGTCGTCATTCTTAACCTGGCAACAAAACCGTCCGGATACCCTCTCAGCTGGTCAGTGGACGCACAGAAAGCTATAGTTCTAGTCTATGCATCTGAGATGCAAACCAGATCAAAATCAAGCTAGTCGGGTGCCGATTGATCGGAAAGGAAGGCAAACGTCTGAAGTACAGATAACTTGCAACAAGATAATCCACTGAATCAAACGCAGACACTGACACAACTTCTGGGTATGACGTACGACCTGCAACTCTAGCACTGGTGAGTCCAGCTGAGGCAAAAAGTACTAACAGTAGTAATCGAACAAATCAGCCTGTCTTCAAAATAACACGGGAAGATCAAGTTTAATCCTACCCTCACCTCATGCGTATACGTGATCTGCACATTCGTTTCGAAAAACGAAAAAGTAAAACCATTAGCGCGCAGAGCAGAAAAGGGAATAATGCACTAAACACGGAATGCAGATAAACCAAAAGTAAACTTAATTAAACAATAAGCAAATATTAGGAGTACGTTAATGGTATAAACGTTAGGTGTGCATACCCTTTATTATAAAGGAGGAAATACAGTGAAGTTGCGCAGGTAGGTCCTAAATGGTGCGGCCGATAACAAATATAAATAATCATTGTTGCATGATTTCATACAGTGGTTTTATTGTGGCCTTCTTGGCAGACTTAATACAAAAGTTAGAAACAGACACTCAGCGCCCATGCGGCTCCAAGTCTACGACGGAATCCCGTCAGTGAGCTCTTACGATAAGCGGCCGACTTCCGGCAGCCGAGTAACAAGCTGTTAGATAACACTTTTTGAAGCGAGCTTGTAAGCTGAACATATGGTGATTAATACTTGCATTAGATTTCATACCGTAATCACCTTGGTGGCAACACAATTGACTTCATTGAACACATATCTTCCGCCGTATTTGAAGACGAAATAAGCCGCCAAAACAATTTTAAAGGCCGCAAAACAAAATTCGGTCTTTACAGCTCTAAGTTCTATGAAGTTATACTGGGCGTGTCTCCTATTACTTACTTGACTGTAAAATACTTAAAGGTCTTTGAAACTTACTGTGCTGGCGGCAAATGGAAGCCGTTGGACGTCACGCGACTTAAAGTGTCACTAGACACGTACACAGAGGCTGGCCAAGCAAAAAAGGATGAGCCAACTGGTAAGTCCACTTCCAACTTTTTCAAGTACTACTTGCTTGTAGAAAGGAATGCTAGACTGCCTGCCG